TTATTGAAATATTATGACACCTAAAATTAATACCTCTAAAATCATGACTTATCTTAATTTTTTTTTTAAATTATAAAATTGAACTTAGATTCAAAATATGATTCCTTGAATTAATGAAACTTTTCTATTAAAAATAATTAACAATATCATACTCAAAGACTACCTTATTAATTACCGTAATTTCTTTAAAATTGGATAAAAGACTTTTAATGTGATGTATTTTCAACCAAAATATGAAACACAAAATAAAGGGTTAGCAATAATCAAAATAATTATAAACATAAATGATAAATAAATAACTTAACCTACAATGAACATGTTCATGAACTGAATTGAAAATAATCAAAAGTTAGTGACTAAAATTCTTATTAGACAACTAAATATGGACCAAATTGAAATCAATAAAGATTTACTATAATGGGCCGTGGGTCGCTCTATTTATTATTTGGGTCGGATTCACATATTTTGTTGTTATGCTATAATAACTATATTTTCATAATAAAACTCCTTACTCTATATTTTTCTAAATTGTGGCTTACAAATTTATAATTAAACTATTTTGGGAAAATATCGTTATTATTTAATTTGGTAATTTTTTAATATTATAATATTTAAACACCTAAACAACTTCTATAGAATAATTATATATTTGGTAAATCATTTTTAATAAAAGAATAATACTTGAATAAATTTTAGGGTAAAGAACATAAATGGTCCCCGATTATAGGGCATTATTTTATTGAGTTCTATGACTATTAAAAGTTACAAAATAGTCCCTTGACTATAGGACATTGCTTTGTTGAGTCTCCTAACTATTAGAAGTTACAAAATGGTCACCTAACTATTCATATGTTTCAAACCCATCATTTTCTGTTAAAAAATGACGTTAGTCTAAGCTAAACATTAAAAAGCTGACTGTGATATGGTAAAATCTGATCCCAAATCAACTATAATATTCCAGTCAATATGTTAACGCCCAAATCATATTATAACACCCCAAATTTCGGGCTAGTAATTTCGGGTTTACTTGAGAGGTATGTGGATCCCGTGAATTTCATATTTTAAGTCGTTAGGCTTAATTGGGTTGGAATTGGGCCCAATTAGACATAAAAATGAGATTTTTGAATGGTGGAAATATGAGAAGGGACCAAAAGCATAATTATCCCATTTTAAAGTATGAGAGATTTTATATCTCTTATTTCATCTTCTTCCTTTTATTTCTCTTCATTTCTTCTTCTTTCTTTCTCCACCATTTCTTCTCCATTCTTCCTCCTAAGTATCATTAGATGATGAATTTGATATAAAACATGTGCTTTTATGACACTTTGAGACCCTAAGTAACTTCCTAAAGCTTTAGCACATGATTACAAACTAAACTAAGACATTTGAGATGATTTTTGGGTGTTTCCTTAGCTTATATAAGACATTTCTAGGTTCGAGTATCAATATTGGATAAATAGTATCGATATTTGATGATTTGGGATGAAATTTGGGGTTTTAAAGCAAAGAGTATCGATATTGTTGGGAGAGTATCGATATTGTGCCTACAGTATCGATACTTAGGGTATAGAGTATCAATACTAGGCCTAATTTTCAACAACAGAAGCCATTTTTTGTACTGATACTCATAGGGGTATCGATACTTAACCCTAGGGTATCGATACTTAACCCTAGGGTATCGATACTGCAAGTAGAGTATCGATACTACCCATTTTGGATGGTTAGATTTGACCCTTTTAAGGCCCGCAAGAACAAAGGATGACTCGTAATGGTAGAACTTAGTCCGTGATGGACGTAAATGACCAAAGAGGCCCGAAAAAACTCGTAGGATTGGGTTACAACTGAAGTAACCATAGTAGGCGTAATACGTTCAAGTACTTTCAACCGAGCATGTAGCAAGTATCTAAGAATGTAGGATCGTTGCAGAGGATTTACCAGCAAGTGGTATGACAAATCTATCAGATTACTAAGTAGTGAAGTTGCATACTGCAAGAATGTCAACGAATGGTGAATTCATAGTTGTCCCTCCAATTCGAGGGTGAATTGAGGGAAAGTGTAGTGAGAGCGATTAGAGTGTCACTACCCAGTATTGAACCCGAGTCAAGTATAGGGCTAGCTAGTGTTCTAGACAATGAACAATAAGCACAGTAATTACTGTAAAAATATGAAACGCGCAGAGACCTCTTTATAGACAAAAATTATTAAAATACCCTTAAGTGATGATGATCATAATAGAGCAATTGAATGAATTATAAGGAATAACAAACTAATAAACATTCGCATAACGTTTTAGTTGAGAGAACGAGCAAGATAGTAGCTAGTGATGGGTTGACCTCTTTAGTATGTTGAACTACACTAGTGTGTAGTTAGGCTACCTTAGTTGCCCCAACAGTGCATTATTAGTGTGCGAGGCACTTCAGTGGCTAACTAGGATGCGAGGCCCGAGCACTCACGAGTAGTGGGTTAGCGATGTCAGTGTTGTGTGGCCTTTAGGCCCTTAGATATGCATGTATAGTTGCATCAGTCCAGTACAACAGATATCCTTAAAGCTTGGCTTGACGGCTGTGTGAGACTGATCCAATAGTTCAACGAAAATTGTATCGATGCTATGTGACATTGGGTTCCCCTTCCATGATCTACCTGATAGCTATGTGAGAACCAGGAGATCATTCAGCAACTTAGTGGGAATTTCAACAATGTTATGTGACACTGTGTTCCCTTAGTTAACTAGTGTCTGATGGCTATGTGAGACTACTAGCAGTGTTGCATTCAGATAATGCATAAGAGTGTCAGTGTCGCATTTAGATAATGCGTAGTAGTTACAGTTATTAGGGTTAGGGACCCATTAGTGGTGTACTCATGGCGAGGTCCTTAGTAGAGGACTAAGGGAAGCATGAGACTCCTACTTTAGTGCTAGAACAGTTAAACCCTAAGTAGGTAGCACTTGAATAAGATCATGCATGTACCTACTATTTAGTATTATGTCTTTAGCATGCTTATGTTTATAAGACTCATAATGTTGCTCTAGATTAGCGATTATACTACTAGGCTTTGTAAGCTCAACGTTCAGATGTTTTCCGTTCGCAGGTTAGCAGCTCGAGTTGTTCGTGAAGCATCGTCGCAATAGGACTTCCAACATCTCCTTCAGAGTATTGTATTGTAGCTTTATTGGACATGTGTATTCATAGAACCTTACTTATGTATTTGAGTAGTAAACCTCAAGATGTACTATTTTGATTTAAACTATATATCATGGAGCTCTGATTTGTAAAATATTTTTAATACTGTTAATTACAAATTTGATACCATATTTTATGTTTCGAAAAGAAAATAAACAGGTTTTGAAAATCACGGGTTGCCTCGACGGCCCAATGTGACACTTTAGGCCCATTCGGGTTTAGGATGTTACACATATTACCGTCAATTTTTTAACGGGGCGAGTTTGACATATATGAATAATCAAGGGACTATTTTATAACTTTTAATAATTGAAGGACTCAACTAAGCAATGTCCTATAATTGGGGACTATTTGTGTACTTTACCCTAAATTTTATGTAAAATTCTATTTTTATATAAGATTGAATTTTTCAATAATGATTTAAGTTGTTTAGTGGTTAATGTGTACTTTGAAATTTGGTTGAAACATCTAGATCAAATTTAAGAATAATAGATTTATCGAGTAAATTTTGTTTAGGTAAAATGTATGATTAAAGGATAAAATCATACACATGAAAAAAGTATGTGTGTCTCATTAAAAAAAACCCTTTCTAAACCTAGTTGGAGGGAAAGAGTACACACGTGATTCTTAAAAGAACAAAATATGACAAGATCCCTAAAAAAAACCCAACAATTCTACCCATTAAAGACTTCAATGAACCGATCCCGATTCATCCTCCCGCAATAAGTCCATAGATCTAGCCGACGGAGAATCCAATAAATGAATCGCAAAGTCCCCTCGATGAGCTATTTTAGACAAAAAGTCAGCCACACGATTCCGTTTACGATGAATATGACAGAAACCGACAGACCAACTCCGCTGAACTAACACGTGAATATGAGTCCATCACTGAGAGGTTAGATCTGGGCCTAAGAATTGACTCGGGCATAATGACGTGTCCACACTTGTCATTCAACTTTTAAAGAATTTGAATTGATAAAGATTCGAATATTTGTAAATAATTTAAAAAAAAAAATACATATTAAAATATCTTGAGAATAATAAAATTCATATTTTAATAATAATACTTGGATTATTTGTAGATAAAAACAAATTCTTATCCTAAGGTATATTTTTATAATCAAAATCAAATGATTGAAAAATTATAGATATTTGACGGATGGTCGTTATATTATTACCATCTTCTCAAAAAACGTCTTAGATGATATGTTTCAATATGACATGTAGCATCACATATCTTTATAAGATGCAACATTCTTCCTCATTTAATCTATGATGCTTTTGTTACGAGCCATTGTCATAAGTGTTCGTCCTATTTGTCCCATCCATTGAGACGCTTAACAAAAAATCGTCATAATTGCTCATCCCATTTACCCCATCCACTGAGACTGAGGCGCTTAACATGAAATCGAGCAGTTAAAAGAAATAAATGGTTGAATCAAAAGAAATTAACTGTTGGGACTTTTATGAACTAAAACCAGAAAATAAAGTCCATTACTGACTTGAATTATTGGGTTTGGACTCAACTTTCATTTAGTTAAGTATTATTAGATTAGAGGGTTAAATTTTAACTTTGCAAATAAAAGAATTAGGTTAGAATATTCACCACAAGCTCCGATCTAAATTAGTCGCCGATAGATCAAATATTAGTAGTACTACCAAAAATATATGATAAACTTGAAAAATAGATACCAATATTTAAATCCAAAATTAAAAAGAAAACATATAAGAAAATTATTCACATGATACCTACATGTGTATCACCCATTAATGTTACATGCAAAAACTGAAAAAATAAATAACAATAATAATAATAATAATAATAATAATAATAAGCTGACTCAACCCTATAATTTATCCTGTATAATATCAGTCACTGGTTTTATACTGATTTAAGCTATGCATGCAACAAACAATGGCTTCTATCTTCGAGAAAAACCACGAGCAATAATGGGGTACATGAACTCGTTCGATATACTTCTCAAAATCCAAGTTAGGAAAGAATCGAACCTGCCGTATAAAAACCGGGGCCTCCCACGTTATAGCTCCGTGAATTTCAAAGTTTTAAGTCCTTGAATTCGTAATGATGTGTTCATATATACGCAAGTGAGCTCCGGTCAAGGTCGGGTTGAGGTCGACCACGAGTTGGTGTTGGTGGTCTCTGGATGTTCAGTTCCTGCAGTTCCAAAGGAAATATATTACTTGTTCATGTATATGCAGTGGACAGGGATGTTTCCAACACGCTACAGCATGGGATGTATTACCTGCATCCAAGTGTCATCTCCAACACGCTCTGGCGATGTTTCAGGAGACTGAATGGGAGGTGGCAAGGGATGTATTAATTTCGGGACGATAACCAGTCCTCTACCGATGACCAATATGGCTCCAGCATTGTTTGCAGTACCTAGATATGTGTGTGTGTGTGTAATGGATTAGCAAGCAGAAACTTTGCAAGATAGGAGGTGGATTGATGTATTTTACGTACCACAGTAGTTTGTTGCAGAAAAAAGAGTAATCAGCTGACCCTGAGCAAATCGTTCAAACCCGTCCATTACGCATTCATGGGCTCTTATAATAAGCTGTAGCTTGTTTTTCTTACAGAAGTCCGTAACACGATCCGGCTGCATATTTGGCAACAAGAATCATTGTAGGTTTATGCGCATGTATAAGAAAAGTTGAATCTCACATGACATGATTACAGTAAGTTCTCGTGACTTAAACATGCATTATACGAAACTTTGATAGCGTAATTGAAACATATATAGTAGATTCAAACCAAGACAATTAACTTATAAAGCAAATAAACTAAACGCAAACACCTCAGTGGCAATCGTTATCAATTCCTAGATTTCTAAGGTGATCCGGTATTACAAACTAGACTTGATGCATGACATAAAGGATCACCTTGATGCATTCAATAAGCTATTTTAGACAAACAATAACATGCATACCCCAAAAGTGACGAGACCGGGACCTCGGGCATTCGGTCTCAAACCTTCTATGCTATCATTTTCTGTTGGATCAGACCTGAATAGGCAAATGAAGTCAAAATTAATCCGTAAAAAGATTTATTTTAATTGAATTGGTTGACTCAAAAAATGCATACCATAACAGGTCCATTAAAATAATGGATCCTGCATCCATTGTTATCGGTCGCTCAAGTTTCTCTATTTGTTCAACCGAATGTATCGATCTTCCTATGCCACCATGCATGCAGATAATTTTCTTTTCGATAAGAGCAGCAAGTGGAAGAAAGTTGAATAGTTGATTGAACCTCGTCCATGCCCATATACCATCATTCTCCCCCTACAAAAATATAATATTGAGCACACTTCACTCGGAGAAGGCATATAATTAATCCACACATGCATAATCATACAGACCATTCTCTCGATGCACTCAATACGAAAACCGAAGAGTGCATTTATGTCGGCAGCCTCATGATTTCCACGAATCAAGTGAACGTTTTCAGGATACTCGATCTGTACAATCATTACAAACAAGAGAACGGAATCAAATTAAAGAAACACGCAAGGTTGCAATCATAATCAAATTTAAGGCTCATTTAGTCTTGAGCTTGCCTTAAGAGCAAGAAGCAATGTAATTGTCTCCAAGCTGTGCTGTCCTCGATCAACATAATCTCCTAAAAACAGATAATCGATGTACCTAAAACATAAATTAAAAAAAAATCAGAACCAGCAATAACATAATAGGAAGCAACGGTTGTAGGCCTTAAGTTTCAATTATTATCTGGTTTGCATGATCGCCAGACTATCAACTTACGTAATATCACCTGCGGTTGAAGGAAACCCATATTCATCAAATAGCCGCATTAAATCGCCAAACTGTCCATGGAGATCGCCAAAGACTTTTACTGGAGCTTTTAACTGGAGGACCGTGGGTTCTTGCATAAATAGTTGCTCAGCAGCATAACATAGCTCACCCACTTCATAAGAATCCAAGAAAAACCTCCTATTTACCGGAGCTTTCCAGTTCCGGGGCCTAAGCAATGTAGAAATGACCTGCAAAAAGGATTGTGAATATTAAAATACTTTTTAAATTTTTTTAAATAATAGAAAACTAATTAATTCCACTTGCCTTTTTATGCAAACCTTGGGGCGACCTCTGCCTAGCAAATTTTTTCGTAGGATAGGATAAGTCATTATTAGAGGGAATCATCCTTCGGCTCTCATTTTCAAACTGGTCCAAAGATAGCTGCCTAACCATCCCACCCAGATTTCCAATTGTCTCTTTGGCAACCACAACCTGTGCCGGGAAAAAAAACATTAGAATAGTGTAGCTGGAAAATTAGAAAACCGTACAGATCCAACTTGAAGTATGCATACAGCTCGAGGATGAAGGCGAACATCCGCCTCATTATCGCTAGCATCTGAAGCTGTTTCAAGAGCAGGTGAGTTATCATCAGATACAGATGTTTCCTCTGCCGGAACAGCAGATGCAGCCTGGGCAGCTTTCCATGCAGCATTTGCAGCCTCGGCTTCAGCAGCAGAAGCCTCCCTCAGTTTCTCCATAGAATTTGTGTCCATGCTATAAGATAAAGATTAATCATCGATTAGTAATTTAGTACTCCTACAGTGTTCGTGTATCTGTGTGTGTGAGAGAGTTATTGAGTAGGACCTCAAGCTCGTGGATGAAGAGAACTCTTGACCATCATCTGAAGTTGGTGATGTTCCAAATGAGCCTAAGTTAGGTTGATTAAATCGGGGGCTAGACAAATTTGTGGCTCTCTCGGGGGATAATACAGGAGAATTCATTTCAGACTGGAATGGTGAATTTTCTGCAACTAGGAAATCATCTAACAGCATATCTGTAAAAAGTAAAATAATTAATCATGAAATCATTCTAGAATAGGAATTGACACACAGCTATTTCTATTTCAGACACAGCCATTTCATTACCTCCTCTAAGTCCACCATAAATATATATTCGCACACCAACAGATGCAGATGCATGGCGACAACGACGCATAAGTTCCAAGGAAGGGTCATATTCAACATGTCCCTTAGTGTTCCGTGAGGAAGTCACAAGCCCATTCCTGTCCAACCATACTCCAGCAGCAGTATCCAGAACTACAAAACAAAGAGAATAGTCGAAATAAACCTATTTGATATACGCAAAACACCATACTCTTCAGAAAATTATTTCAAGATGAGAAACAAAAGCTTGCCTGTTACAGCTGCTTCACCTTCTATAGCACGTCCTCCTCTAAGAGCACCTCCGGTAACATGCAACCGTGCACCAACAAAAACCTGGTCGAAAGCAAATATCAGGCCGACTGTTTTCGAAACAAAAAAAGTGAGGCAGGCCTATAAAAATTCAGTTTTATGTTCATAACAACTATAAGCAATAGCATTGGCATCAACTTACCGCAGCATGCTGGTACCTTGGAGAAGGGGAAACGCCAGGTGCAAGAGTCCATTCCCATTGACCATTTCTGTGCATAAGCAGCCCGTATGCATCTGCTAGAGGCTGTTGAAGTGAATATATAATCAATAAAAACAGCATCTCACATCGTAAAAACAGTTAATGTGATATAATATAATGTAACACATAAATTACAGGAAACTATAACATTCAGTCAAAAAGTAGATGGGTATATACAGTTCAAGGCAACAGACTTAATTATTGCAACTTATGTTAAAATAAAGGACACACTAAGTAATAAAGCACAGTGCAGGACAGCCTTTGACGTCAACAGTTCAAGTGACTCTGGTGTGACCGTCAATTACGAGTATGTGTCCAACATGAGTATGTCCAACAAGAGTTATATCCCATACCCATGTTCGGATAAATCTCAGACAAAGGCATTGGACATGGTAACTTCAATACGAATAGTTGAAACGCTTAAACTAACAAAAAAAGAGCACATTCACTTTTCACCCCAGAAGTGAAGCAGACAATAGTAACGCACAAAAGAAAGTACATATTTAATGAGATTTGATCATACCGCCCCAGAGGAGTCTCTTCCACCACAGAGCAAAAACATGCCATCTGAGCGGGCACTAGCTGTAGCATACCTAAAAGAAGGTATATATAATTGGAATATTTAGAACATATACTATGAAAACATAAACCTCTTAATAGATCATGTATATGCGTAACAATAAACAAACTTACATCCTAGCAGAAGGCCTATCACCTTCGGGGCTTAGCCTCTGCCATGCATATGGTTTCTGACCAGTATCCAAGGCCCACGCATCTGATAGAACTCTTTTTCCTTTTTAGAAATAAAAGAGCCGTTGCTCAGATTTCAATGAAACAAAATAAAAATCAAGAGGAAATCACTAGACAAACATGAAAATTCGCAAAATTGACGACGCTCAATCTCAGTTGCCACATAGTAAGACAAGCAATGTACATAAGTCATCTTAACACCAAACGACAATCTTTAGTTCTTTACTGAACACCGAAATAAAAGCAGTTTGGAAACCGAGGAACATCTGGGAACGGATTGAATTTATCAGAACAACCACGTTCCACCTAGTGAATTAATTTCCAAAAGGATTTGAGGGTGGGGATGTTGCCATAGAAAAAAGAAGTGTGATCATCAAAGCGAATGAGTTTGAAGCTGGAAAGTGAAATGCCCGTACCATCATTGCCGCTTACACTTACAAGATATCTCTGGGCAACCAGATCCATAACATGGCCATAGCGAGGTCCAGGACCCTGCCCTTGCACAACCACTCTAGACAAAACAAACCACCAAATGAGATGATAATCAGATTAAAATGAAACAACAACCAACTATGAGAAACTGTGGAATCTAAATATAAACATATTATAACAAAACAACAATAATTTACAATGAGAAGTCTCCGAAAATTGCGGAACCAAAACTCACCTATGCCACTTAAACTTATCATTGGTCAGATCAAGCACATAAAGATCATCAGTAGAATGACCAGCTGGACCTATCCCACCCTAGCCAATGAATCAAACAACTACAAAAATAAGCAATGCACCATAAAATCATATAAATGTATCAACTTTTACTGGCGCTTCTGCAAGTTCACCCACCTGAAACACAACCATAGTCCCTACGGCGGCAGCGGCGTGAGCTGCCCTAGGAGAAGGCGGCTCTCCAGCTGGTTTGATTCTGCAAATTAATCAAAAGAAAAGATGAGCTAACAATTCTAGATCGATTCAAAAGAAAAGAAAGTACTCACCTGGTCCACTTTCTGGTAAGAACATCGTAAGAATGAACTGAATTGGTGACACCGGCTAATCCTACCCAAGAAAAAGGTTAAAATAACAAATATGTTTAAAAATAAAAAACCAAACAAAAACAGTGGTGGACATAGAGATAGAGAGGAGGGGATTAACTGATTCCAGGAGCAGATGAGGAAGCGCCACCCTCAATGGCGGTGGCACCACCGAAGAGAATAAGCCGAGGACCATGCGCCTTGGTGGCAGCAACGGCGGTAAGAGTGTGACCACATCGTGGACCAGGCGCATCCTCATCGGAATCCCAAAAAGTCTCCAAAGTCCGGTAAGTCGGAGCCGGGTACAACCACGGCTTCGAACCCATCTTTACTCCCAACACCTAAAACCCAAAAATCCCACAACTCACACCTTCAATTCTGATCTCATCTCACAATAATAACACTAAAGTTCTAAAAAAAAGGCTCAAAAGAATCCAAGATCGGGAGCTACTCAAATGGTTGGGTGGACCCCAGATTTTGATTAGACCAACTCTTTTCTTCCACTTTGTTGATGTGGTTTAAGAAATGAAATTACTGTTCATATGTATTGGAAGATTGAAAGTAATTGATCGAATAGAGTAAAAAAAAACTTTCTTTGTTTCAAGGTTTAAAAAAAATATTTGTTTCAAGGTTTTGTTTAATTGTTGGAAGAAATTGAGGATGGTGGGAGCAGTAAAAAGGAACAAAATTTAGGTGGTGAGTTGTGAAAATTGAAGTCCCTGTTGATTCACACTAACACTGTATGAGCCCACGAACACTCCCACAAAGAAGAGAAGGTCAACCATTTGAGAGGACCGTAAAGAAGGATTTTCTGGGATGTGTTTGTATAGCTGTCTCATTTGTTGCAATAAATTAAGTGTAATTATACCATTAGTCACCACTTCTTTACTTTTTTTTTACTTTAAATGTTTAGTTTTTTGTTTTAATTTAATATCCGTTAAAAACTTAATGAATTATTACAACTTGACATTTTTTTAGGTAAATTATATCATTCATCCTTTAATTATCTTTTCACTCATATTTTGGTCATTAAAGTTTATTTTTTATTTAATTACTTAACTTTCAAATTACTCCTATAATCACTCTAACTTTCAAATTTATTTTTTATTTTAATTATACATTAATAAAATAATAAAAATATCATGTCACAAAATATTATTAATAAATTAAATTCGATTGATTAAAACATGAGAAATTTGAAAGTTGAGAATTTAAATTGAAATTTTTTAAACTTTAATGACCAAAATAGGAGTGAAAAATAGTTAAGGGATGAATAATGTAATTTACCCATGAAAAATGTCGAGTGCAAAAGTTACGTTAAATTTTATCTATGGTGTTAAAATAAAACAAAAACTAAAAGTTAGGTATGATTCTGAAAAAACTAGGTACTAAAATTGATCGAAATTGATAGTTTAGGTACTAATCGTGTAGTTTACCTTTTTTAGTAAATCTTTATTAATAGGGCAAAGTACACGTTTAGTACTACAATTATCAATCTTGTTATGTTTTGGTCAATCAACTATTTTTTCATAATCATACTAATATTACATTTTGATTTAAATTTAGTTACCCATCGTTAAAAAATAACAGAACTATTGATTTTTTCATACCCCTATTTTTATTTAATTTTAATTTATTTATACTTTAGAACCAAATTGCAAGATTTGAAGATTGTTTTTAAATATCTAGAAAATTACGAGACTCAATTTCGAATTGCCCAACCCTTGCCAGCCTATAAAGAAAAAAATAAAATAAGGTAACTGCTGGATTATGAACCCACATTCCATAACATGGGCGACCATACATTAGCCAACAAGCTATGCCATTTTTATAAAAATTAAATGTTTAAAATATCTTTTAAGGCTAGTTAGATCACATTTTAAACCCCAAAACCCTTTCATTTTTCGGCTGAAATCACCCTTAACTTTTGCAACCTTCACAAAATCACCCAATCAACACTCCATCATCGTCGAAGCTCTGATCTACCATTTTCAATCGCCGTGAAGTACATCGTCGCCACAGGAGGGTTTGTCGTCTCCTCGCGACCAAAATCCACGTCCCTGTGCATAGGGCTACTTAGTCGATCCTTAAACCTTCCAAAACAGGTCCGAATCAACTCGTATCGAATCGAGTCAACTCAAATCGAACCGAATAAACCCGAACGGATCTGGACTGTTGACCTGACTGTTGACTTAACCATTGATCAAAACTGTTGACTTTAATCAATGTTAACTTTAACTTTGACCAATATTGACTTTGACCAATATTGACTTTGACCAAAAGTTGACTTTTTCCAAAAAATCATATTTTAAGTTTTTCGACGTTTCCTCAAATTCTAACTCGAAATCCTTTGAGTTAAATGTTGAACCCCGAACATGCATATGTATTTTATTATTTTATTTAAGTGCGTTTAAATTAAGGGCAATGATTAATTTATAATATTGCTTATTGAAGGTACTTTGTGATTCTCCTGACTATTCGTCAGCTCGACCTAGCTCCTCTCGATCTATTCGACAACGTGAGCACGTGATTACCCGTATGATTTTGTAAACCCTCTTATTAATTAGATTAAAATATTAATTCAATATTAACCCTATTTTGTTATGGTTTAGGTTCGAGTATTGTTGTAGAGCGTAGTGAGGCCAGTGCTCAATAGACTTCCGAGATTAATCCTTTTGTGAGGTGTGTTCCTTGTGTGATATATGAATGTTTTATATGCTTTGAAATATAACTTATATATTTGTTTAGATTTATGAATAAATTATTTGATCGAAATCTTGATTCCTAATTTACTGATTACAAACTATGTTTGTCTAATTCATGTTCTCTGGTTACAAGTTTTATTGAAAAATATAAATATGTCTGATTTATGAAATCCTCATACTATTGTTTACTAACTTAAACTGTTTTATTGGGTACTTTCTGGGATGTGTTATGGAATTCTATAGGTTTAGCTCCAATAAAGCTGGTAATTCTTTATGGACATAAGATAACCCTTGGGTAGGATCATAGGCCTCAATGTACTCCTTTAGGCTAGTTCCTATACCTATTGGGTATAGAGTAAGTCCTTATAGATATAGTTCTGGGGATTGTATTTTAGTGTACGAACAACAAGTAGTTATGTGTTTTGAATAAACCTCACTATCACTTTTATGATACTTTATAGAACTACTTTTTGAAACTTTTGGAACATATTGAGCTCCCTATTTCACTCCCCCAAGTTTCTGCTTTTAGATACTTTTGGATAGGCTCATCGGACTTGACACTTGAAGGATCGACGCATTTAATATCATATTTTTGTTATAATGTTCCCATCTTCCAGATTATCTTTATTTTGGGTGACATGTGCCTATTTTTATGTATTTGTTTTATATCGTATTGTATTTTACTACTGATGTATGAGTTATTTTGATACTTAATGTTATCTGTTATTTTGTTTTACTTGATTTGACCTCATTATTATTATGATTTAAAAATGTTTTGGGAAATTTAATGTAATCTGTTAGATCTAGTCGTAAAGTATATGTTGGGACTATGAGGTTATAAATGTAGTATTTTTATTTTTTAATGATGACATGACATTACCTTATGGTGATATGTCAGCATCACCATTAATTTTTTAACAACGAGTTACTAAAATAAAATTAAAACTAAACGTTAAGTGTGATATAAAAAATAATTGGATGACCAAAATAGAATAAGAGTGATAATTATAACACTAAACACGTTTACCCTTATTAATATTATATTTTTATGGGTCAACTACAAGAATGATCACTTACGTTTTAACCAAAATAGACTAAAAGTGATCATTATGATACTAAACATGTTTACGCTTATTATATTTTTGTAAACTTTTGGTCATCAAATTCAAAAAGATAAATTTTGGTCACTTACGATATGTTTTTATTGAGTTTTGACCGCTGAGATGTTTAATGTCATTAATCTGATGACATGACGTGACATGTTAATAAAAAGGTTAAATTTTCTTTTAACCCATAACTTAAAATAAACTATTAATTATGAGTCTTTTTGTAAATTCAAAAAAGTTTTGGGATGAATTCTCAATTTATTCTATTTCTTAATATATTTTTCTTCAACGCACTTTACCAAAACCACTTGCTTTCCTCCATCAGCGTCGCATGCCCCCGTCCATAGGTAGATCATCTTCCTGTCACCGATCATCAAATTATAAAAATAGTAGTAATCGATTCCAACCTTTCTTTCTCCTTTCACATCCATTCACTGGTTCTAAAACATAATATCCCAAAGCAACAGGCTAAAAGGGAAGACGACAATCTTTTAATTATGGATCAGAGTGTTAACGGCCATGAACCAGACCAACTATTGTGGCTTTCGAATTCCGATAAAGAATACGAACAACCTATGGATGGGGGCGTGATGTAGAAAAGCTATGGTTTCGGAAGAAAAACATATTAAAAATGGGATAAATTGAGAATTCATCCCTAAAATTCTTTGAATTTACAAAAAACTCATAATTAATAGTTTATTTTAAGTTCAGGGGTTAAAAGAAAATTTAACTTTTTTATTAACATACCACATCATCAACTCAACGACATTAATCGTTTCAGTGACCAAAACTTAATAAAAACATAACGTAAGTGACCAAAACTTATCTTTTTTGAATTTGATAACCATAAGTTTATAAAAACAAAATGTAAGTGACCATTCTTGTAGTTTACCCGTTTTTATTTTACTCACTATTAAAGTAAATTATTTATTAAAAACACTAAATTTTGTCATTTTCAAAAAAAAAAAGTTAATTATTAAGAGATCCAAGACTCCTATTATAAGAGATCCTACACTTAATTATTAAGTTAAATTAGAACTTTATTAAAATTTCATTATAAATAAATTTAAATTATATTGAATCATCACCTCAAAATTAAATAAAAAATACAATTATTAAAATTTTAATGCTAAAATTATAATTATTGAATTTAAATTTAAGAACTAATTGATATTACCTTGAAATTAATTGTTAAATTTATCTATATTGTTTAGCTATAAATGTTGACAAAAGTTTGTATATTTATTTTTAATATTCCAAATAAATTCAAAATATATATTAATAGTTTTATGATTCAATGCTGAAATATATTTTTTCTTAGATAATAGTTATTTTTTTAATATATATATATATATATAAATCATTATTGAAATTTTTTTACATTAGAAACACGTCATTATTTATTTATTTCGTTCACCAATTTTAATTTTTGAAATTCAAATAGATTGATTTCAAAACTCATTATCAGACATACTAAAATTATTAAACTTTGAAATTTATGTTTTCAACGGATTTTTTTTATGCTTATCAACAATGTCTGCGTAAAATTATATGTGAGATTTTAGGGTAAACTATACCATTGACCACTCAACCATGCAACTCTTTTACTTTTATTACCGATCTTTCAATTTTGTCAATCATACTACTTAGCTATTTAATTATGTTAAATCAGACCACTTGTCGTTAACAATTGACCGAAATGCTAATGTGACAATTAAAGAAATTGGGTAATTCAACATTTAGTCCTTAATATTTATATATTTTATCAATTTGATCCTAGTTTAAATTTAATTTAATACATTAATCATTCAATCACAATGTGACACGCATCAATACATGATTAAAAAATTTTATTTATAAATTTTGATTTATTTAATTAAATAATTTTTATATCCAATCAGGTAACGTATCACGACCAAATTGAAGTGAAAATAAAGGAATTAATTTTGCGCTTCAGGAGAATTGAATCAACTCCAGGGCAGGGAGAGAGCAACCAGGCGCCTTAACCACTGGGCCAAAGGTTCTCAATGATTTAGAATATGCAACAAATAATATTTCTGATTTAAAAGCTTGTTAATGATAAAACAAAGTAGAAATAAAAGAAATAGAATTAGAACCTACACAAATTATAAAATAAAATATCAAATAAATAATTAAACAAATCTAATATTTATTTCTATAATTATTTTTAAAAATCATTAACAAGTTTTTAAAGCAAAAAAAACTATTTGTTGCATATTCTAAAACGATTGGGAATTTATAGCCTAGTGGTTAGGAGCTTGATTGCTCTCTTCCTGTCTTGGTGTTGGTTCGATTCTCTTGTAGCGCAATTTTTTTTTTGAAATAGGGCACTTTGTATATATTAAGAATGGATACAAAGTACTCTAACCCGAAGGACCTCATTAAAAAACCTCCCTAAACCTAAATGGAGAAAAAAGAGTACACCATGGAATGGGAAAGAATCGAAACTACATTTTGAAACAACATATATGGGCTGCTACAACGAGCAAGGAACACAAATGCCTCACCCCATGCCACCAACTCTCCGCCTATAAGCATCATCAAATTTCCAAACTAATAGACCACATTTAACAACGATAGAAACATAACCTATAAAATATACATCTGCAACAAACATTGACCGGTCATCTGTCATCAATGGAAAGCCTAAGCCAATAAACCAACCACCAAAGCAGCACCAGAAACACAACTAAAACCCACATATCGACCATAAACTATTAACACAAGCCCCAATATTAAACAAGTTTAGATAAAAAAATTCCACCGACAATAACTGACCATTAAATTTGGCATTATTTCTACAAATACAAATATTCCAAATAAGACCAAAGAATCCCAAATTCCATAAGGATCGAAATTTCCCTTCTTACCTTTTAATTGCACCATACCTCAAGTAATGCTTTAACGCTCATCGAAAAATCAATTCTGATCTTTCACAGATTACACAAACGCTGCCATACAACGCCTCAAGGGCACAAAACGTGATTGATCAATTCACTTTCTCTTTTGCACAGTATACAATGGGAATTATCCGGACATGAAATACCACGCTTCTCTAGCTCTAGAATGACTGGCAATCTCTGATGGACAACCTTCCACACAAAGGTCATAACTTTAAGAGGAGCATATTTAAACCATACCAATTTCCATAGAGGATCTTCCACTGAACTAGCACAAGCTTCCTTTAAAAAATAGATTTTTGTCTTATAAACCCCATCCAAAGTGCCAAGCCATTTAATTCTATCCAAGTCCAGGACATTACTAACAACTCTATTTAATACTTGAAAAAACTCGATCCATAAAGCCACCTCTCAGTCGCAAAGAGCTCTCCTTAACTCAATCTTACATTCCCAAACATCACAGTTCCAATACCCAAAATTGCTGATCTTACCAGATTTTCGAATAGCAATCCTAAAAATTCTAGGAAATGAAGCTTTCAAAGAGACCATTTCAGTCCAATGATCCAACCAGAAATCTATTTTATTATCATTTCCCATCACGCATCTTAACTCTGAAACAAAATCAACCCCCTTTGACGCCGCCAAAGCAATAATGTTTCGCCACATCCAAGAAGAGTTTCGAGCAACTGCTTTTGGAAGAATCGAATCCTTTTTTTATAAGAATGGCAGGCCTCGTTAAAAACCCCCTCTTGATTAAAGGAGCTTGAAATAAAGCTCCTTAATCAGCGAAAGGAGGAAAAGAGTGCCTTAGAACTTTTATTAAAGGAGAACATTTACATAAGATTTAACAATTACACTACAAAACTATCCATAAAACAAAGCCACTTCTCCTGGCAGAAACAAACTACTCACTGAAAACATAAAAACCACATTATAAACCTTACAATCAAACTATCCCTTTCTTAGCTAGACTGTCCGCCTCCCCATTGCACGACCTTGGAATCAACCTCACCGAATGAACCTTGACAATGATAAGATTCGAAATCTGATAAACTAGAGGAGAGAAGAAGACAGGAGCCAAAATCGGGGACTGAATCCACTCCACTGCAGAAGAGAAATCACTTTCAAAGATCAACCTACCAATAGATTCCCAACTAGATGACAAAAATATTCCAATGCCTCTTTTAATAGCCTTTAATTCAGCAAGTGGAGGAGTTCCCACGCCAACATTTTCTGAAAAAGTCAAAAGGGTACAACCATTCCAATCTCTTAAAATACCTCCAATTCCTCCACACAAACCATCTAATCTGACAGCTCCATCGGCATTCAATTTAAGGAAATCGACCGGAGGGGGAATCCATCTAAAAACATCACAAACTTTGTCTTTAGAAGGTGTAACTCCATCTGTCAGAGATGGATTACCAATCAGCACATCCTCATGAATGGAAATCTTAGGGAATTTGGCTAGGAACCATTTAGAAAGCATGAATCTAACAATGAAAAACAAAGATAATCTGTCAAGAGGAGAACCTTTAAAAACCACAGTATTCCTAACTTTCCAAATAGACCAAAAGATGACTCCCGGAATAAATTTCCAAATAGTCGAGTTCACCCTCAACTCACCCCAAGAAATAAGAATAGAAGGAGGGTCTTGTGGTAAAACCAGCGATACATCCCAAAAACTAGCTAATTTATTACATAATTCCCAAACAACAACGCAAGAAATAAATAAATGTTGCATTGATTCCTCATTTTCCTTACATAAAGGACAAAGAATGTCATCTCCGAGTGGTAGACCTCTCTTAACCAACTCAGCTTTGACTGCTACTTTCTGATGAGCAAGCTGCCAGAGGAAAGCTTCTACCCTAGGTGGAGCAAATCCCAGCCAAACCCCTTTTAACCACAAATTATTACTCCCCAACACAGGGCTAAGAGAACTTCTGCATGATTTTATTGAAAATAGACCATCTCCACTTGCAGTCCATGACAGAAAATCATCCACCAACTCTAAAAGTTGAATGTCCTTTAGTTTAGACATCAGATTCATCCATTGAGCCAGCTCCCAATCACTTAAGCTCCTTCTAGTTTGAACATTCCACACCCAACCGCTCGGTTCAAAACTACCAAACTCTGCAATCTTCCCCTCTTTAATAGGAGAGAGCACAAAAATTCTAGGAAAAAGAAATTTGAGAGGACTCTCATCGGCCCAAATATTATTCCAAAAAAAGATGGATTCTCCATTTCCCACTATCAGTTTCGAATTTGATCTCAGACTAATTCCTTCCGAATCATTCTTCAAGTAATTGTTAGCAATACCTCTCAAAATCCAAGAAGATTGTGGATGAGAAACCCCCCTAGTAGACATTGACTTACAACTAACCTTGTGTTTGCTGCTCAACATACATTTCCATAGGGAACTTTTATCATTGGCAAATTTCCACACCCACTTGCCCAGAAGTGCCCAATTGGTGAGATTCAAATCTATAACACCAAGACCACCACAATTAAGAGGCTTACAAACCGTGCTCTAGTTTACCCAATGAATTCTCCTCTTTCCCTCTTTATCACCCCATAAGAAATTGGCCATTAACGAATTTAACTTCTTACCGATTTTGTTAGGCATTTTGAACAATGATAAGAAAAAAATTGGTAAAGAAGTTAGCATCGATTTCAATAGGACTGTCCTACCAGCCAATGACAAACATATAGCTTTCCACCCAGCAAGCTTGGCACTGAGATTTCGAAAAACTGGATCCCATAAAGTCACCGAATTTTTCTTAGCTCCCAATGGAAGTACCAAATATTCTGTTGGAGAAGAACCTACTGAACAGCCAATTTGTGATGCCCAATCTGTTAAAACTTCCTCTTCCATATTAATTCCCAGTAGCTTGCTCTTCGCTAAATTAAGATGTAGACCCGCCATCATACTAAAAATTCTCAACACTCTTTTAACATTCTTGATCTGAGGAAGAGAGGATTGGCAAAATATGATTAAATCATCCGCAAACTGAAGATGAGACAGTCTAATAGAATTTTCAGGTTTCCCAATAACAAAGCCTTGAAATAAACCCTTATCAACTGCTTTAGATAGCATTAAATGTAGCAACTCTCCAACAATGTTAAATAGGAGTACGGAAAGACTGCAACCTTGTCTTAGCCCCTTGTCCATAGGGAACTCTTTCGAAGGAGACCCATTAACAAGAATCGATATAGAGGCTGTCGAAAGGCACTCAGAAATCCACGAGCACCATCTACTTCCAAAACCCATCTCTGACATTGCTCTAAATAATATTGGCCATTCCACATAGTCATATGCTCTATGAAAATCAACTTTAAAAACAACCCCTTGCAGCCCTTTCTTTCTCTAATAGTCAATACCTTCATTCGCTATGAAGGCGCAGTCCAACAACTGTCTCCCCGGGATAAAAGCAAACTGTGACTGACTAATAATATCTCCAACACAGCAACTCAACCTCTTAGATAGAACTTTAGAGATAATCTTATAGAGGCTGCCTACTAGACTAATAGGTTTAAAGTCCTCTACATTAATCGACTGTATCTCCTTCGGAATAAGCGTAATAAACGCATGATTGATCCCATGGTCCCATTTCTTGCCTAAGAAGAAATCCAGAAAAAATTTCACAACATGTTCCTTCAGGTTAGGCCAAAACTTCTTGAAAATTCCCATGGTGAAGCCATCCGGTCCTGGTGAATTTAGAACTGTCCGAGGTAGCTACCGCTTGCCATATTTCCTGTTCTAAGAACTGCTCCTCTAACTTTGAGGATTGAACCCCTGCCAGCTTTACAAAATCCAGTGATAAATCATCAACTTCCATAGTGAACTTAGAATTATAAGCTTTCTTAAAAAATCCACAATATGAGACTTGATCGATTGCGGGTTTGAAATAATTGAGCCATTAATCTTCAAACTTGTGATTTCATTCCTTTTACTTCTATTGAGCGCAGACAGATGGAAAAATTTTGTATTTCTGTCCCCATCTTTAATCCATTTTGCCCTTGATATCTGAAACCAAAAACTTTCTTCAGTCCGATACAGCCTCCAAAGAACTGTTCTGGACTACATCAACTGATCCGACTCTTGTTGGGAGATAACACCACCTTGTGCTTTAGCTTCAAGATCATTAATCTTCAATTCCAAATTAGTAATAGACCCAGAAATCCTATGGAATTTTCTTCCATACCAGATTCTAATTGAATTTTTAGCTCCTTGTAAAAAGCTGAAAATACCCCTTCTCTTCCTTCTCACCCTCCAATTGTCCAAGGATGATTTGACCAAACCCTCAAAACCTTCCTCTTCTAACAGGTAATTAAAAAATCTGAACGGTTTAGGACCCCAATCCACAGATTTTTCCTCCAAAGAAATAGGATTATGGTCAGAAAGCGATCTAGGTAATAAGCTTTGGACGATATTCGGAAAACAAACCAGAAAACTCCCAGAAATTAGGAACCTATCTAGTCTGACCCAAGTAGAAGCTTCTCTATTGTTACACCATGTAAACCTTCCCCCAGCCAAAGGAAGATCAATTAAGTTAGATTGGTTCAAGAAATTCCTAAGAATATCAATGAAGAGCCAGTTTTGGGACTTTCCCAATTTCTCTGTCGGGTCAAGGTACACATTAAGATCACCCCCAATGCAAACTGACACGGTTTGAGCAACAACAAAATCCAGCAACTCCCTGAAGAATTCAGCCTTATCAGAATCAATGGACGGACCATACACATTAATAATCACACACTCTTCTCTAGAGTTCTTAAATTTCCCATAAACTGCAATGAATCTACCACTTAAATGGCTAGTGGAAACTTCAAATTCCTTATCATTCCACAAAACCATAAGACCATCTCCGGATCCCACTGCTGGGGCGAAAGATCCTCCATTTCGAGTATTTCCCCTTATCCTTCTCCTTAGAGACTGGGAACAAAATTCTAACTTTATTTCTTGAATGAGAAGTAAACACGGTTTGAGTCTCTTAACCATATTAGCAATAGCTCTCGATTTTTCCTTTTTACCAATACCCCTGACATTCCATGAAATAATCTTAGTCTTTATCATAAATATAGATCTAAAACCAAAGCCTCGATGTAGAAAATCAACCAAAAATCTACTCTCCCATATTCAACCCTCCCTTACTAACATCCAAACCCTCCTTATAATTTATAATTTTCTCCAGGAATGCTTTTTTACCCTCTTTGAATGAAATCCCCAAAATTTTACTAACTTCCCATGCAGCCAAAGCCTCCTCTAAAAATACCGAGAAATTTATAGAAGATACAGTAAGTCGACTGACCACATCCATAGCTTCCCTTATCAAAATCCTTCTCTTTCTTATATTCTCATTCCTAGCCACTGAACCAGATTGACAAACAGTTACAGCACCTTTTGCACTCCTAGAAGACTGTAAATGATCACCTGCAGAAATGTGACTAGAACCTCCTTCCTCCTCAACCCCCATGAAACTTCCCTCCAAAATAGCAGGAAGGGAATGATTACACATCATAGAATCGAAAATAGTTATGTTATGATCAGTAGGTTCCAATGATTATATTGCTCATTCTTCTCTACTCGGATTAAACCATACCTTTCTTTCTCTAGATCTTCGATACACTCTAGAAAACGAGCCAGAATTCCACCTTCTAATCGATGTATTTCTTATATGCAGACTATTAGACAAATGACCTAGAGGACACCAACTCCTTAAACCATATGCAGAAGACTTTTTGGTAATTCTAATCCCCTGGTTACTACCCATATGAATTGTCCTTGCTTCCTTTGCCACCTCTGAACCTTCTGCACTACTAATTTCCTTGTCCTGAGCTATTACTTCCTCTAACCCTTCCTCTTTTGAGCTTTTTGAAGTCCTACTGTCCTTAGCCTTACCATGAATGGGAAGTGAAATTAATTCTGGCGTAACAGAAACCTCATTTTGCATAAATTATTCAATCGAACCAGATTGATGCTGTTCTCCTAAAACTTCCACCCGGGACTCCTTATGGTTACCATAACCCAAATTAGTTAAATTTATAACTGGCCCAGAAGGAGAAAATCTAGAGTTGTTTGAGTTGGGCTCACTCAAGTCCTCTAACTAGGCTTTGTCACTATCATTTAAAGTAGCATTCCTTAAACCAAGGCCCCGATAATCCCCTTTAAAATTCAAATCTTCTTCTGAAAAATCTGACATCTTTAAACCCCTAGTTTGACCTTCTCCATCCTGCAACATTAAATGCTGACTTCCACTACCGCCTGCCATTGTTGTGCAGTTTTCCCCTACCAACCACCTGTCTACTGTGTCCCTAGAGTCCTCAGCACACAATTTTTTACTACCTACCCCATCAGAAAACCTTTCTTCTTTCTCCTCTAATGAAGCTTCATCTCTGGATTCACCGTCTCCGGCCACCGTAAAGTTTATTACTGATGAGCTTTCCAGTTTTGTATAGACCGAACCCACATTAATTTTTACCTTAAAAGATCTCCCATATGAACCCAATGTAACAGTTTCCTAGATGTCAAAAGGACTGGCCACCCTCAGCAAAACCCGAGCCACCGCCAAATCTTCTCTTCTGGCTGTCGACTCGTGAATACACACCAGCTTCCCCCATCTTGATACCATATTTTCCATAAAAGAAGCGTTCCAGCATAGCAAGGGCATTCCAAGCAGTTCCACCGAACAAAATGCCATTGGGACACCTTCACCACTCATAAGTGGATCTAGCCAATCAAACCAGAAGGCCACTTCCTCTCGTCTGCTCGACCACACCTCCTTGAACTCTTCCATTGAACCAAAAGTTAAAATACACGAATTCCATGCATAACCCCATTTAGCTCCCTTGACATTGATCCCATCGCTAGCCAGCCCCTTCACTACTATTTCCAAATCTAAATGGGATTTGATAATCCCAATTAATGATCTTTTCACCCAGTCATATTCATCTGTTGGAATATGCATCTCCCACAGATTCTTCAACCTTGCGATCTTGCCTGGAGGACCCTCCCGAATCTCTTTACACGCCAGACCTTCATTCTTCCCATCAAAAGATACTATCGCATCCTTATACGATCTCTCGTCTCTCAACTGACCGAAATACTCAGGTCCAACTCTTCTACTCCGATACCCTCCCTTAATCAAAATGTCTTCATCCCTTCTGACATTACTCCTAACAACTTGCCTAAGTTTCTGTTTCTGATACTTAGCTACTCCTACTGAGATTTTCTTACCATATAACCATATACCATTGACATTTGCTATTGCCTTCTTCAACCATTCCTCCTTTGCAAACTGAACGAAAGCAAAAGTATGATTTCTATAATTCGGCTTGTTAGAACTGCTCGGAATAAAGACACGAAAAACACTTCCCTGCTGTTGAAATATTTCCTTTACTGTTCTCCATGTTACCCTTTTACTCAGATTGTCCACAAAAACCGTCCAATCCTCACCGGAGGACTGACCAGTAATGACCCTCTCTCTCTCACCCACTCTCTCTCTCTCTCACCCACTCTCTCTCTGACTCTCTCTCTCATGATTTTATTTGCTTTCATCAATATGGGTGCAGGCAAATTCTGCTCAAAACACCCTGATCGTAATTATATTTAGCAACCACAATCTTTTTCCATAAACTGTCATCTTCCTCACTATAACGCCAAATCAATTTATTTAACATAGCTCGATTCCTGGTTTTCACATCAAATATACCCAAACCCCTATGCGACTTTGGCTTGCAAATAGTATCCCACTTAATCCAATGAATGACTCTGTCAGTCTTTGTGCTCCAGACAAAGCTCGCTATACACTTATTTATCTTATCGGTTACCGAAGAAGGAATCAGAAATAAAGAGATAAAGTAAACTGGTAAATTAACCAATATCGATTTAATCAAAGAAATTCTACCCCCAAATGATAGAAGTTTTCCTTTCCATATATCTAAGCGAGATCTTACTTTATCTAAAATTGGTTGCCATAAAGCCTTGGAATTTCGTTTATGAGCCAACAGAATACCCAAGTATGTTGTAGGGAGCATTGCCTAGCCACATTGGATGGCATCAGCCTATCTTTTAGTTCTATTTTCTTTCACATTAACACCAAAAAGCTTGGTTTCCTTTGCGTTTAACTTCAACCCAACAACCATTTCGAAGATTTTAATAATTCGTTTCAAATTTTTAATCATCAAATGATTTGCTTTTGAAAAAATAAGCAGATCGTCTACAAATTGAATATGATACAACAATAATCGTCCAACCCCTACGCCAACAATATTGAAAGA